TTCAGCGGTGATTGGCGAGATCCCTTATCCGGANATACAAAATTCTTCGACGGATTGGACAGGTTGCTTATGAGTTAGAATTGCCATCCGAATTGGAATTTGTCCACCCGGTATTCCATGTATCTATGTTGAGAAAATGTATTGGAGACCCTTCTCGAGTCGTCCCTATCAAAGNATGGTCGGGTGCTAGTCATGGACCTCCAGTTTGGGTCGTGACATCAGTTGGTACTTTTAATTATGTAACTAAAAAATGCACCATCCGGGAATCGAACCGGGGTCTATAGTGTGGTAGGATACTATTTTATCACTAGACATTGGTACATTTTGGTTTAAGACTTTCTTTTATTTTATTTATACTCTTTAATTATATTTTTGCGCGATAATAACTGACCTATTTTGGTCAGTTTTATTAAAAAATAGAATTACCGACAAAATTGGTTGGTTTTTTAATATGACCAACCGAAATAACTGACCAATTTCGGTCGGTTTTTTTACTATTAATTTTAAATTATTTTTAATAAAAAACCGACCAAAGTTGGTAGGTTTCTTGAAATATAAATTTCGTGGGATGCAAAAATAGTTTCTTGCTTTTTTACGCCAAAAAATACCGACCGAAGTTGGTCGATTTCATAAAAAAAAAAAAATAATTTCGGTCGGTTTTTTGACAAAACGAAGTCTGTCGGTCGGCCACGGTCGATTTTGGCCAAATTTCTAGTAGTCTAAAATTTTGCTCCATAACTAAAAAAAATACTCTATTTTTTGTTGAAAAAGGAAGTACTCATTCTATAACACGAAAAAAAGTACTTATTTTGTTGAAATAAAAGGAAATACTTTTTCTACATTAGGAAAAGAAAATACTCATTTTGTTGAAATGAAAGAAAATACTTTTTTTACATCATAAAAAGAAGATACTCTTTTTATTGAAATGAAAGAAAATACTTTTCACTACATTATTTTTTTGAAATGAAAGAAAATATTTTTTTTCTACATTATGAAAAGAAAGTACTTTTAAATTAAGATGAAAGAAAATACTTTTTACATCATGAAAGAAATTATTCTATCTACAACATGATAATAGAGTACTATTATTAATATTTCTATTTCGGGGGGAAGGGGGGAAGTAGGGGTGGGCATCGGTCGGTTCGGTTCGGTTTTGAACATTATCGGTTTTGCCTATCGGTTATCGGTTTACAAATATCATAACCCGATAACCAAACCGATAAGATATAGGTTATCGGTTATCGGTTAATTGGTTATATATCGTTATCGGTTCGGTTATCGGTTTACCCGATAACATAAAACAACTAAAAAAATTTGCAATATATAAAACAAAGAAATCAAACTGCCAGAACGTGTAAACTGCCAACTTTTGTTGTTTCTTAACAAAAGCACGCTCCCACTTCTGTACAGTATCTACTGATGTCTGGCGGAGAACTGGTGGTGAGTCTTGCGTCTTGACTCTTGGAGGCTGCGACGGAAACAAGAATGAGAACTGAGAGACAAATGACTGAAGACTGAAGAGTGAAGAGAGAATTAGGAAAATAAATATCCCTAGTATATACTTAAGGGTAAATTAGTAAATTATATCATTCTTATTGGGTTATCGATTTTTTACCCAATAACAAAAATGCAAACCGAGCCCGAACCGATAACCCAATAAAAATAAAATTTAACTCATTACCGAACCGTTAACCCAATAACCCAATATCGATAACCCAATAAAGAATTAACGGTTCGGATTATCGGTTTTACCCGATATATGCCCACCCCTAGGGGGAAGTGGGTGTGGGCAGGGTTGGAGTGAGGGTTGATGGGAATGGGAAATAAGGTGGGAAGCTTGGAAAAGAGTTTTGAAAAATATTTTCCCTTCTTTTGATGGGGAAAAATTTTCCTCTTATTGAAAAAAAATATTTTTCAAAATATTTAAGCAAACAAAACATTGAAAATTGAAAAATATTTTTCGGAAATCATCTTCTGCCTACCAAACACACCCTGAGTTTACGAAGATTTTGTTTATGCTTTACTCTGCTGGACCACTATATATTGTTTATGTTGGCATATGCTTCATTCCTACCCACCACTATATAAAGTGTTGAAATCATATTCCTCAGAGGATAAAATATAAAATTGTTTTAATAAAATATTTAATTACTCCTATGACGTATTGAAAGGAAAAATGTAATGGTATCTGGTATCATATTAAAAAGGTATAATGGCGTCCTGGTAAAAACAATTAAGGATTCAGCTGATATATTAGTGAGTGAAAGAAACATTTAACCAAACATAGAAACCTCCATAATATCCACAAATAGATTTTAGTAGGGCACTAAAAACAGTACAAATCCTAATTTCAACATGTAGGGAGGGCCACAAAATAACATTGGTGAGGCATTGTATTAGCAACGCGCCTATATATTGAAGGAAATGATAAACAGTAATAAATCCCAATAATCAGATATATCCCCATTCCAAATCTGCCATTAGTAATAACTGTTAGGTGTTTGCCATAATTTTCTTACCATATTTGATTTTCCTATTTGTTGAAGGGAAGGGCAATATAATTATCTTAATTGGGTTTTCCTTTTTGTAGAAGGAAATTATAATTCTCCTATACTTGGCTAGTCCTTTTCTTGTAGGAAAATGTTTGGCGTTCTATAAATTGAAGATCCGTCCTTCTCATTCAGTAGCATCCACAATGTAGTCATAGGGGCTTGAGAGTAGTGTTTAGGGGGAGAACTTTACGGGACAAGTGTTAGTGTGCCACTTGTGTTTGCCTCTTCGTGAGATTGTTCTCTCGATATTTTGTACTCTTTTTTATATAGTGGATTGCTCATCTCCGCTGTGGATGTAGGTCAGTTGACCAAACCACGTTAAATGTTTGTATCTCTTTTGGTAGATTTCTCTTTTGTTGTCGGACTTATTGTCGTTCAAGTCTGCTTTGCTAGCTTCCGCATGACACCTGATTATTTCGGTCCTAACAATAACAACATTAAATTGCTACCACGATAAGGTATAATTAATCCCAGAATTAAATTTGAGATGAGTTTATCCCATGTTTGGATAGAATAAAATTACAGTATAACTAATTTCGAAATTAATTATTTCAAGATAGTAGTATTTTTTTATTCTCATGGGAGGATAGGATAACTAATCCCCAATAATTAATTATGGGATAACTTATTTCCTAACCAAGCCACCTCTAGAAATTAAATTAATTCCGGCTACTTTTCCAGTTAGGCAGATTATTATAGGCTAGCTACTTCTAGCTTTTATGGCGGTCTTGCTAATTTGGTAGTTGTATAAGTACTGAATGAATATATCAAATAAAGTTGAGCAGTATTATATAAGACTATAAGCATGAGCGGATTCATTTGAATTTAGTAGTTTCGACGTGGAGGACAAATCTAAGCACAAAAATTCATTGGATGACAATAAATAGTAGCTATGAACCCTATAACTTTAAAAATGTAATTGGTTCAAGACTAAAAATCTTAAAAATTAAACACATAGAATTTAAATCTTGGATCCGCCTTTAATTATAAGCCCTTCTCCGACTTAGGAAAAGCAACAAACTTTCGAAATTAGGGCTCTATCCTCCTTTGGACATGAACACTATTTCGTTCTCAGAAGAAATCTGCCTTAAGATTAGATAAGTTAATGTTTAATCTAAGAAACTGCTGATATTGTAGGTTCTTAGTATTAAACCTATTATATTTTAAAAATTAGGGGGTCATATATAATATTTATAGTAGTTTTAATGTGTTTTTATATGTAAATTATGCACCACATTAAAAATACTGAGTTCAAATAAATCAGACAATGCTGCATATCCTAATTGTTTTATTTTAGAGAAGGCATTATGTCTGCAAATTCAAATCATTGAAGTTTAATTAAAGTCTAATTATCAATCTCGTAACATGAACGTATAAGTTAGTGGAAAAAATCAAACATCAGCCGTTGAGTCATATCCAAATTAGTCAAATGCAACTCTCATTAGAAAACAGCAATTTATTTTGATGACAATAAGTTTATTAGTTATTTTACATTATATTTTCGTTTACTGATAAGTTATTATAAACTTGTGGCCAGCTATAAGATTCTCTTACTCTTAGCTTTAAAATTACGATATAATACGTCGTGATGTACATGTTCTTTCTTCAGACAAATATTGACGATATATAGGCAGGAAAAAGAAAATTGAAGAATCCTAACACATTATCACACACATAATATCACATGGGCTTGTCCCAATAGTTGTAACTGTAAATTGAACTCTCAGCGATCGTTTGACATAGAGGTATAAAAAGGTATAAGGGTGGTATAAAAATTTAATACCATATTAATACGAGATTTGGTTAGCAAATCAAGCATAAGTTATTTCGGTGTTAAGTTTAACACCGGGATAACTTATACCATATAGAAGGTGGGGTAATAATTAGCACCGATATAACTTATATCTTCTTCTTAGAAATTGTGCAATTATCATTCTTAATACAATATACCAAACAATGAATAAACAACAATCCCAGCATAACTAATCCCAGCATAACTTATCACAGTATAACTTATACCGGCATAATTTATACCGATATAAATCGTATTCCAACCAAACGACCCATCACTCCTTTTACGCCAACTTCTTCTTCTACTACTACTACTACTACTATTATTATTATTATTATTATTATTATTATTATTATTATTATTATTATTATTATTATTATTATTATTATCACTACTACTACTACTATTACTACTACTTACTATTATATTATACACACATACACAATAATAATAGTAGTATATATATATATATATATATTAGCAACTTTAACTTGTTTGAGATTGAGATATAATTATTATATCCTCTTAACAGAGTCGAATGAAGAATTTTAATGCGTTCAATCTTAACCGTTCTTAATATTGAATGTATTATATTTTTAAAGTTATATATTCAAACCCACCGGATACACCTCTGCAGTCAGGAATATGATCTCAATACTCTTTATATAGTGGTCCAACAGAGAAAAGCATAACCAAAAGCTTCGTTGTAAGCCATGGATTCTCAACTTCTCATCAAATCCATGGCCAATGGAGATGAAGGAAATACTGATAAACTTCACGTAGTTATGTTTCCTTGGCTAGCTTTTGGTCATATTATACCATTTCTTGAACTTTCCAAATTCATTGCTCAAAAAGGTCACAAAATCTCTTTCATTTCAACCCCAAAAAACATTGATCGTCTCCCTAAACTTCCCCTTGAATTTTCCAATTCCATAACTTTTGTCAAAATCCCACTTCCTAAAGTTGATGGTTTACCAGAAAATGCAGAAGCTACAATGGATATAACAACTGAAGAAATTATTTATCTTAAAAAAGCAATGGATGGTATGGAAAAAGAAGTGACTAAATTTTTGGAAAAAAATTCACCTGATTGGATTATTCAAGATTTTGCACAATATTGGTTAGCTCCAATTTCAGCCAAGTTAGGAATATCACGTATTTTCTATTGCATAATTAACGCTTGGTTCATTGCTTTCTTTGGGTCAACGGAGAATATGGTCAACACCAACTCAGGAACACCGCCTACGGTGGAGGATTTCTTAGTTCCACCAAAGTGGATACCGTTTGAAACAAAGGCGGCGTATCGCCGCCACGAGGCACGGTGGATGGTGGGGTCCAGCCAGAAGAATGTTTCTGGCGTTTCGGACCTTTATCGTAACGGGGTCACAATGACTGGAGCTGACGCTACTATTTTTCGTCATTGTTACGAGTTTGAAGGTCAGTGGTTAAAGTTATTAGAAGATCTTCATAATATACCGATGATTCCTTCGGGTTTAATGCCACCTATGGTGAAAAATATTGACGACGAAAAAAATAATCAATCTTGGATGTCGATTAAAGAATGGTTAGATGAGAAACCTAAAGGTTCTGTAGTTTATGTAGCGCTAGGGAGTGAAGTAACCATTGGCCTGAATGATATTAATGAGCTAGCTCTTGGGTTGGAGTTATCTCGATCACCGTTCTTTTGGGTCTTGAGGAAGCCATCTAAGTCAGGAAATACTGACCCGATTGAGTTACCAGAGGGTTTTGAAGAAAGAATCAAAGGTCGCGGCATAGTATGGAAGAGTTGGGCACCTCAGTTGAATATATTAAGTCATGACTCGGTTGGCGGATTCTTGACTCACTGCGGATGGAGTTCGATTATAGAAGGATTAATGTTTGGTCATCCATTGATTATGTTACCATTTTTGGTTGATCAAGGACTGAATGCTAGAATTCTGGAAGATAAAGGGGTTGGTGTAGAAATTCCAAGAAATGAAGAGGATGGGTCCTACACAAGTGATTCAGTAGCCAACTCGGTTAATTTAGTAATGGTGGAAAATGAAGGAAAGATAATTCGAGAGAAAGCAAAAGAAATGATTTCTATATTTGGAAACAAAAATCTTCATGATAAGTATATAGAAAATCTAATTGAGTTCTTGGAAAATCATAGGAAAGTGTCTAATCAACATATATCTAATTAAATCTTAATGTAAGACAAAATAAAGTAGCCAGTTTGGTGAAATTTACTCTTTTTTCGATTTTTGTTATTTTTTTGTCTTTCTCTTTAAGGTGCTAATGGTGATGTTTCATCTAGATGTGATGTTTAGATTTTTATGACTTTTGTGATAGGACCGAAAATAATCAGATGTCATTCGAAAGCTAATAAGCAAATCTTAAACAACGATAAATCATACAACAAAAGAGAAATATACCAAATGAGATACAGATATTTAACATGGTTCGGTCAATTTGTCCTACATCCACAGGCGGGCATGTGCAATCCACTATATAAAAGAGAGTACAATATATCAAGAGAGCAATATCACGAAGAGGCACATACAAGTGATACACTAAGACTTGTCTAGCAATTCTCCCCTTAACAAGACTCTCAAACCATTTATGACTACATTGTGGATACTGCTGAACGAGAATGGAGGATCATATATTTATAGAAATCCAAATATTTTCCTACAAGAAAAGAGGACTATCCAAATATGAGAGATTTATAATTTTCTTCTACGAAAAGGAAACCTCAATTATAATAAATATATTGCTCTTTTCTTCAACAGATAAGAAAATAAAATATGGTAAAAAAATCAGGACAACCACCTAAACCGAAAAAAAAAAATGCAACGTAAATGCATCAGTAAAGTGGGAAAAAATGCGGATAGCTTAGCTAGAGTGAGAGTTTGTATATGCAACGCAAATGCATCAATAAAGGCTAAGGGTTCGTTTGGTACGAGGGATAAAAGATAATTAGTCTCAGAATTAAATTTGAGATGAGTTTATTTCACGTTTGGTTGGGATAAAATTGTGGTATAACTAATTCCGAGATCAGTTATACACGGATTATATTTTTTTATCCCTATGGGAGAGTGAATAACTAATCCCCAGATAATTAATCATGAAATAACCTCTAGTGTGTTGTCATATTCCAATGGCTACCTTTTGTGGTGTCTTCTAAAAATTCATATCCAACTTTACAGTGAGGCGGATCCAAAATTTAAAAATTATGAATTTACGTTTGACATGCTATTTATAGATCTTTTGATTTATTAAATTTGAAATTATTATATATATATATATATATATATATATATATAATATTCGCCCTTGATTCTACAGTACTCCTTACTTTTTGTTGTGCGCGCAGGGTATGTGGCCACAACAGAGAATCCTTTATCCCACAATCTAAAGTTCATTATAAATAGAAAGAAAAATCTCCAAAGTTGTCATTGTTTAAGGAAAGTATTTCATATTTATTCAATTATTTTTTTGTTTCAAGAATTTCTTTGAAATATGATTTTGAAATTTCCCCATTTAGATATATGTAAAATTATTTCAAGTCTCCTAAAAACAAATATTTTACGTTAGCAATATCCGCAAGAGTTTAATCGAGTATTCAATGAAAATAATTTTAAGTTATAAGACTACTATGTTTTAATAAGTCAGGTTCATGTATACACTTATTAATCTACTCGCACTAGGATCTTTATCAACCTCCCCACTATGGTAAAAATCGACCAGGAGTATACCAATTACGCTTCGAATCGGACAAATACCTACCCGCAATAATCAGGTGTTTACGTTGTGAATACCTAATTTTTGACAATATTTAATTTTTTTTGTCACTTCTTCTATGTAAATATTTTAGGAAGTTTTAACATACAAATTTTTAGCTTTGTTATACTTTTAATTATAGGTAAAAAATACAAAATTTTAGAAGATGAATTATTACTATTAATATTATTTTATTTTATTCTTATTTTTAAATAATAATAAAAATCCGAAAAATATTAAATTTTTTTTTAAAATTTTCGGGAGAGATTTAAAAAAATAAGAAAAAGAGAAGTATGGAATTAAAAAAAAAAAAAAAGAAAA